CCCTCGCCGCCGACACTTATCCTTCTCATCTCCTGCCCCATCCCAAGGAGAGCTAAACGCCACCCTCAGGGGCTCCCTACAGGGCTGTCCAGTACCTGGATTGCCAGAAGGATGACACTGGAGCAGGGCTTGAGTGGCTTTGTAGGTTGTTAGGCCGAGTCATGTGACATATCACTGCTGTGGTTGCATAACTTATGCCAGTCTTTCCGACTCTTTTAATCTTGTTTTACCAGTTATTTTATAGAACTGAGTGAAAGCACTTTGTATGTAATGTTTACTTAAAATTCTTTTTTTAATGGCTGAGATCTGTTGATTTAGTGCAAGGTATTTTTAGGGAGGGGGAGTTTTATAAAAATACACTGTAGAGTGCTTTAGTTAAGGGCCTCAAAGGTGGTTCTCTTTTGAGAGATGGTGTATTGAGTCGCTAATTTCCTCCAGTAAGTGGGTCTAAGCAGTCCTCCTGTTTTCCTTGTTGATCCCATCAGCATTCCTTTTACATCTCTCCTAATGCCTGGACTGTATGGAGTGTTTTATAAACAGCCAATACTTTTGGGTTTTGGAACCTTTTGGTTTTTCATTTATAAATTTCAGAGTAAATTAACAGACAAGCTAGAATTCTGCTTTGGGGTAAATGAGAATTCTGCAGGAGTTTGTTCTTAAAACTTTTGGGGAGGAAGGATGTTTGCCACTGTGGAATGAGAGTAGCCACCTCCTCTAGCCTCTCACCATTGCCTCCTGTGGCTGATTGATCTGAACGTTCTAGGCCAAATGAAGTACTAGTTATTCTTGAATAAACTAGTACTGGTGACTAAGTACTTCAGCATACCTAGTTATTGAAAATCCTACCTCAGTTCCTTTTCTGATATTGACTCAACTGCAGGGTGATGTTCTGATAAGTTATAGTCACTAAATTGCAGTGTTAGCTGTTCTCTTTCTTTAGTCCTAAAGACCAGAAATAGTTTGTAAAATTGTACATTTGAATGAAACTCATTGCAATAGGGCATTTTAAAATTACTTTAAGAATTTATGTTGCCATTTTACTTTTTTAGTTTTCATAAGGAGCCTCTTCTATGAATAGGAAGGGTACCATTTTACACTCCCTTATGTGTCTTAAAGACTGAGCTTCTATGTGCAGAATAGCTAGCTGTTAGCAAATTCTTTCACCAGAGCCGTGTTTTATTTTTTTTACCATCAGCTATCATTTATTTCAGATGAAATTTCCTTAATTCTCCCCTGTACCTATAAATAAGCTGTGATTGGGGTTTAAACTTCATAGGAATATTTCTCCTGGCCCCATCCCCTGTGAGTTTTGTTTTGTTTTAGTAGTCTTTTTATAGAATCTGCTAGTAAAAACAAATACAAAGCAAAAAAGAACTTATAAGACACCCATGATTTTATCCTCCCAAAGACAAAACATTGGTGATTATGCTTTCAGATCCTTTTCTATGTATGTTTGTTCTTTGTTATTGTGAGATCTATATTTTTTTTAGTCATGAAAAATTTAGTTCTAGTATATGTGAGTGACTTTGTCTATATGTATAAAATTAATATCCATTCTAGTATAATAGAGCACTATTTAATACACTAGAAATCAGTGTTTTTATACTGATACTTTACTTACAGTGCTTTGGAATGCAAAGTCCTTATGTGTTACCTCATTTGACCCTTAAAACAAATCTGCAAAGTAGGAATTATCATCCTGATTTAAAGATAAGTCAGTAAGTCAGTTGAGGTTTAGAGCTTTTGTTTCTTGTCCAAAGTCCTTAAGTGAGACAGATGTGAGACCTAAATTCACATCTTCCCTATTTAGCATTCTTTCCACCTCTTCTTAGTAAGTGGCTATATTCCACTTGACTTTTTTTATACCTATATTTCATTATTAAAAGTGAACTTTGATTTAATGATATTGTAAAGTGAGGGTACATCATTTCATCCACCTTTGATTCTAATGCCTTAGAATATCACCATCCTTGTTCACGGTCTTCCTAAATTTGTAATCCCATTCTTCATAATAAAATTAGAATTCTTATGCTTTGCTAATAACTGATACCTCTTTATAGACAATCTGAAAAATATGAAAATACATACCCTGGTTTTTGTTGTGTGTCAGCTTAAGTGGGGGAAAATATGTCAGTATATACATCAGTCTTTTCTTTCATTACTATACTGTTTTATGACCTTTTTTATACTTAAGTATATTATGATTATCGTTTGATATTGCTACATTTAAGATCTCATAATTTTGAGTGGCAGCAGAGCATTGTGCTTAGGTTAAAATTTTTCAGACAACCCTGCCATAAATATTCTTTTAAACCTTTATTTGCACACTTATCTAAATATTAGAAGAAATTCCTGGACATAGTATTGCCAGGTCTGAAGTGGTTTAATGTGATTGTACTTGTGTGTGCATGTTTGTTTGTTTTTAATTTTGGGGAGTTTTTTGTTTGTTTGCAAAACTGCCCTACATGAATTATAGTTCTACTAGCAGTGTGTGAGTGCCTGTTTTCTCCATTTCATTGCCAGTACTGGGTATTATCAGTCCTGTTTTTATTAGCTTTAATTAGTTTTAATTCTTTGATTATAAAAGACATCAAATATTTTTCACTTATCTGTTAGTCATTTTTCTTTTGTGAACTATCTGAACTTTGCCCATTTTTCTATCAGGGTTAGAATTAGTCTTTTTTTTTTTTTTTTTTTACCTGTTTTACTTTGGGTGTTACTATTTTAAGATTCTCTTATAGTTTAATGACATCTTTATTAATTTTATTGTTTATACATATTGCAGATATTTTTATCAATTTTTCTTAATTTTGTTCTTGATAGGTTTTATGTAGTTAAATCTATAAGGCTTTTCTTTCTCTAATCCAAAATTATTTTTAAAATGTGCCTTTCTTTTCTACTAGTAGTTTTATGGATTTATTTTTACATTTAATCCTGAAATCCAACTGCAAGTTGGCATAAAGAGAATCTAAATATAACTTCGTTTTTTCCCAAATGACGAGCAGTTGTCTATGAATGTCTTTTGATGAATAATCTGTCTCTTCTGGTAGCTTAATAAAGGTAGTGAAAGCAAGATACTGAGAACATAATAATAAAATAAGATACAAAGACTTGGGTGAAGAGGACTTTAATAGTTTATTTTGGGGGTTGGTTCCTCAGGAATATTCACTGGAGGAAGTGGAATATTTGAAGCAGATGTTAAGGAAAGGCCTAAGAACAACATCACTAGTGTGAAAAAGAATATAGACTGGAAGGGTTATGACAATGGTTGTGATTATGTCTGTTGTCTTTGAAGATTATCACTTGATAAAAGTCACTAGTTATGTCATTTGCCTCCATAAAGAGCACTACAAAACTATACACTGCCCTGCTCTTGGCAAGTTTGCACACAAGCCTGCATTTTCCACGTAAAAATAGTGGGCCTGACTTTGGCAAGATGGATGAGAGGAATTACGTCCTTATGTTCTACCACATCTTCCTGCTAGTCCTTCTATCTTCTTTTAGGCCCAGTTCCTTCCTCTTTCTACATAAAAAAAAATAATAAAAATACTTTGACTTTAGAGGAAACTGATATTCTGGCTTGCCTCCTGTAATATGGTGCATTGGTGTTCTTCCTTCACAAATCAGGATGCAGACCTCTAAATGACTGACACAGTAAAAGCCAATTATTTCAGTTTTAGAATTACTTAAAGTGCTTGACTTTTAGGTAATTTTAAAGGATAGAAACATTAAATTTTTCCCTGGTGTACAAATTTACTAAAATGGCAGAAATGTTGAGGCTGTGTATGTTGCTTTTGTTTTGTCTGTTTACCATGATAAAATTTTACGTTTTTCTTTAGGTTGTGACAAAGACCTTTCATGGTGCAGGCTTGGTTGTTCCAGTAGATAAAAATGATGTTGGGTACAGAGAGCTCCCTGAAACAGACGGTAATATATTTCTTATGCAAACACATGCATATGTGACTATGTGCTTATATATGTGAAGGAAGGTTTTTCTTATATTGAAAATTAGGTATATACATATGCCTTTTGTGAGAGTCACCAGACCTAGTGATAAAGGTTTTAGGGTCAGTCAGGCCTGAATTAAAACTGGGTTTGTAGCTATTGTAACCTTATGCAAATTATTTAACCTCACTAAACCTTGTCTTTTTTTATCTGTAAAATGGTTAATAATGGTGAATACTATTTATAGAAGAGTTTGGGGTGTAAGATTATGTAAGGTGCTTAGTGCAGTGCTTGCTTTATAGTGCTTAAAATATGGTATTTATAAAAGCTTAAGGAATTTTAACCTAGGTTACTTTTTCTAAACTATTTCAGAACCTTTGACATTAGGCAACATACAAAATAGTAATTATTGAAATAGTATGTTTTTGTATATTCCTTTGTGAAAATTTTTTCGTGTGTATACAAGACTACTTAGCATTCAGAAGCCCAAGATCCTGAACTATTTCATCTAAGTATAAAAACACTTTGAAAACAGACTATTCGTACACAAAATCTAATTACTGCTGTGGTGAGAAAAGAATAAAATTACTTTTAAAAAATTTCCCCACCTTTATTCCCTCTTCCTTTGACTATCCCCGTTGGCATTCCCTTATTTACCATCCTGTTCCAGGGAGGATAAAACTTAGAAGTCAAAATTAGCACTTCCTCAAGGAATAACCAAGTATTTCTGCCCAGCATATATAATATTTGGCCATCCATTTTTTAAAACATAATCAACCAGCCTCAGCTGATTACATATGTAGCCCACATTCTATTTGTTAGACAGGCTGATCTGTCCCACTGCCCCACATCTCCTCCCTGAAGCCAGAGGTAATCAGTCTCATGGGAAAAGTGGGTAGGCTCTAGCTGCTTACTGTTCAGTCTTCTGCTTATACTCCTCTTCTGCATACCAGTCCATTCGAACCTTTAACAAGCAGAATAACTCTTGTTTGAGAAAGGTTGAGTATACTTGTTAGTCTCTCAAACTTCAGGGATGGTGGGTATTAAATTGTGCTTTGGAATAAACCCTGTTATCCCGTCCTGGTTGTGGTTCTAGGGTTTTATGTCCAAGATCATTTTTATCTTTGCTTTTTCTAACGTTCTGCATATTAGATCCTTCTCTGGCTTAATTACTTTTGAGTGAGTAGTGGTAGCAAGACAAAGTTAAGGACCTAACATCATCCTGCTCCTGCCAGTGTTGTTTGCTGGAGGTATAATTGACAGGCGGTTTGTTAATATGTGACATTCTTCAGCAAATCACGATATTCATATTCCAAAGTTAAAAGCCCTAGTATGTCTTTACCACCCCTTGATAGTCCTTATACTATATATATGAATCTTAATAATGTAGAACAGGGTAAAAAAGAGTGAATTTTGTCTATTTGGATTTTTTTAAAAAATCCAACTCCTAATGTAGACTAGCCCAGGAGTGGGCTACATGTGGTCTGCTGCTATATTCTTTTTTTCCCAACTATTTAAAACTGGAGAAAATCTTAGCTTAAGGGAAGTTAAAAAATCGGGTGGGCCAGATTTGGCCATTGTTTGCTAGTCCCTGGACTACCCTACTGAACATTGTTGAAAATTAATAAAATCAAGATTCCAACTAGATCCATTGTGAAATAGTCACACTTTGCCAATGCAAGAAATCACTTTGTTAAGCCATTGTTATGCTTGAAGCTTAAGTAGAAAAATTGGAAAACTGCTGTTCTAAATTACAGTGCCAGCCATGGTTACATCAGCTGTATGAAGAGTTCTATGAAGATAAAAACCAGCGTATGGTCTTTTTACCTTGAAGATGGTTATAATCTTTTAATATCATTGATTCCTTTTAGCCAACCTCAAGAGAATTTGCAAGACAATTGTTGAGGCACCGAGTGATGAGGAGAGACTAAAATCTTTCGCTCCCATTCAGGAAATGATAACTTTTGTACAGTTTGCTAATGATGAATGTGATTATGGCATGGGGCTTGAGTTGGGAATGGACCTCTTCTGTTATGGTTCACACGTAAGTAAAGAAACCACCACCAAACCTTCCCTCCTGTCCCCCACTCCCACATACTCATGCACACACATTATATCTGCAAGTTGTAACATATCTAGGATAGGAGATATATTTTAAAAGGAACTCTTTGAAGTGATTTTTAAGCAGATGTTCTATAAATATTTATTTGACATTCATCTTGTATTCTGGCAAAGGAGAATAACCAAGATTATTTGCCTTCAGGTTTACCTTAAAGTGGTTTTACTTGTTAGACATATTATTGGGATATACATGTGTATGAGTATGTCCGCACACTATTCCTAGGGCTCCATTTCATTTTCTATTATTGGCGGGGGGGGGAGTATTTCTGCCTGTGTTTATTCCTAGATGAAGAGTAAATACTATTTTAAAATTGACTTTATTTAAAATACGAGATGCTACTGTATCATTAACTATTTGCTCATTAAATAGGGAAAACCTGCTTAACATTTAAGTCAGTACTTATTCAACTGCACTTGCCTCAAGATCAAAGAAGCAATAAGGTGTTGTGTTTCTTGGGTTAAATTGGTTTTAAATCATACACTAAAAAGCTGTGTATGATTGGGCAATTTTCCCAACACCTGTGTATGTCTCCTTACTTATAAAACGTCTGAACACAGGCACAGAGACCATTTAATTCTTATTTAACCTACGATGTCACCTACAAAGCACAGAGAGGTAAACCATCTTACTCAGGCTCATATAGGCAGTCTGATTCTAGAGTCAGTGTCTAAATCAGGAATTCCCAAACTGTAAAGTACATAGGAATCACTTGAGATATTGTTAAAATGAAAACTGTTTTAGTGGATCTGAAGTGAGGCCTGAGATGCTGCAGTTCTGACATGTTCCCAGGTGGTGGTAATGCTGCTACTCTACAGACCACACTCTGAGGAGCAAGACTAAACCAGTAGCTAACTTTAGCTGCATCAGAATCATCTGCAGGGCTGTTCAAACACAGATTGGTGCACCCCTGCAAGTTTGACTGAGTTCTTGGGTGGGTCCTGAGAATTTACATTCTGACAAGATAACCAGGTCAGGCTGATGTCACTGGTTAGGGCAGTCTAATCTGAGAACTCTGCTCTAAACCACATTATTGCCTCTCTCATATATGGTTATCAGAATAATCAAAATGTTTAACAGCCTGAATGACAGTCCTTGGCCAGCCAGAATATTGCTTTGCCTGCCAGAAAATATGAACCAGCTTAATAGGAAATGGGATTGTTGAAAATTAAATAAGAATATATGAAAAGGTTTATTAGCACAGTATTTAGCACATAGTAAGTGCTAATAAATGTTTATCAACAAAAGCGTTGCCAGTTTTTCTTCTACTATATATGCAAGAGCAGTAGTCTAAGTCACTTGATAAACCTAAGGCAGTGACTGAAGGATGAAGGGGTTACAAGATGGTGGGAGGGAGAGAGGAGGAATTTGAAGATAAAGAGAAGTGATTTAAAAGCTCCCATTCAGTATCAACAAAGGAAAATGATTAAAAACTGGTGGGGATATATTGAAGAAGCATTTGAGCATTAGGAGCAAAACAAACAAAAAAACACATTGCTAACCTTTACCTAAGGATATAGGGAAGCATAACTTTGTTTTTTTTTTCTGAATTTTCTTTACGATATACTGTTTTTTAGAGCTACAAGATTACCCCTTGGACAGAAAGCCAGGTGTCTCAAAATTCACTGTCCTAATCAATTGAGAAAGCAGCTAAAATGATTTGGGGAGTATGCGTTCTTAAACAAGTGCTTTTTCAATTTATTTTCTGTTACTAGAGCATCTGCTGTATTCTCTGCTTAATATTTATTTTTATTTTTCAGTATTTTCATAAAGTTGCTGGCCAGCTTTTACCTCTTGCATATAATCTGTTGAAGAGGAATCTCTTCGCAGAAATTATTGAAGATCATCTGGCAAACAGAAGTAAAGAGGACATAGACCAACTTGCAGCATGAGTGAGAGTTGGCTTTGGTATACAGTATTTTAAAGCATTAGTATTAAACTTGGGATTTTTTTTTTTAAGGAATACAGAAAATAAATTGATGGAAACATTTACTAAACCTTTTCTCTCTTCTGGACTGGTTTTCTTTTTCATGTGCAAATAAATGGCAGTCAAATCATCTAAATAGTAAGGCCCTAAACACATTCAAAACAAAGTCATCTTCTAATAGGTCACAGGAAGCCACTGCCTAATGCCTGTGGATAACTAGACTGTCCTCTCCTCCCAAGGAGTCATGGTTCAGTATTTAAGATGGGCAAATAAGAATCTGAATTAATAACAGCTGTAGTTTTAAGGACTGGTTTTATGGGAGATGGGGAAGGCAAGTCATGACACTGTACCCAGCACTTTCCCAAAGTGTCTGACCCCGGACCTAACAAAACTTAATTTTAACAATATCTCCAGGTGACTCATTGGTATTCTCCCCACAACTAGTCCAGTTATCCCATTAGGAATATTCTTTAAAACAATTCTCCTTTGACTCAGTCTATATTTGCTAATCAATCTAATATAGTATATTGATATATAGTTTAATACAATATATGAATCAGTATACCATTTAGATTTTAATTTTCCATTTTCATTTACTTCACTGGATCTCCAGTACAGATCTGTAGATAGCTGTATTTTACCAGATTAAGGTCCTCCTTAAATCTGACAAAATGGCCTTTACCTTAAAAAGAGCAAAGCATGAAATGCAAAATAGCAAACTTTGTGGATTAGACTTAAGAGTCTACAAGCTCTTTCCCCTTCATAAGAAGTTCAAGATAGAAATGCCCTCAAGTCATCTATTTTTAGCCTTCACATTTTATAGAAGATTGACTTGACTTACCCAAGTAACTCTTGAATAGTCTCCAAAATTACTTACTTTGTCAGCTGTGTCCTTAAAACAGATTTGAGATACTGAATCCTTTTGATAAAAGGTATGAGTAAATTATTAAAAGGAAACACTTCTAGTTAAGATTTTTGAGTAGCGTGCCTCATCTCCAGTTACGCTGTAAGCTTTTTAAGAACATTTATTTTATATGAGTATATGTCCCCTCAGTAACATAAACCATTGAATATATGTGTGCTGGAGAAAATATACAACCATGAAGACCGGTTTCATTTTAACTCAAGTTGGTCATGTTGCTGCTCATCAATCCTACTACTTTTACATTTTTCTTCAAACATGCAACACCTTCCCCCATCCTCAGTTTATTCTACTGAGAAAACAGAAGCAATCAAAATAACTTCCACAAAATCTAACCACACTACTAACTACCCATTCCTCATCCCTATGAATGTTGCTTAATGTTTCACTCTGTGCCCGAGATGCCACCCCTCTCCGCTCTCTCAGATTGTCAACTTTTCCTTAAGCAATTCCCATCAGCAACAAAAGCTATAATATCCTGGATCTTAAAACACTATCACAGTTCCCTTTTTGGAAAAACTCAGGAAGAATAATAGCTGCCTTCAATTCCTTCCAATCTCTGTCAGACATACTCTAATCAGGCTTTTGCTTGATTCCTTTGAAACTACTTTGATCTAAGTTATGTTATCTCCATGTTAGCCAAATTTCAGTCTTCATTCACCTATCAGAAACACCTAACAGTTGATCCTCCTTTAAACTATTATTCATTTGGCTTAGGGGACTACCTGTCTCTAGATGGCACCACTCTCCCTCCACCTTACCTCACTGGCTGCTCTCATGCTGGCTCATCTCAAGTCTAAACATACATATGCATCAATGCTCAGTCCTTTTCCATCCACTTGATCCCATGGTGACCTCATCCTGTCCCAGGATGATACCTCCCATAATTTTTTGATCTCTCAGGCTGGACTTGAGAGCTTCTCATGAACTCGAGTCTAATATATGCAACTGCCTACTTGATTTTCCCACCTGAAAGTCTAAAAGGCATTTAAAACTTAATGTCTGAAACCAAAAGTCCTCTGTACAAATCTATTCTTCCTGAAGTCTTTCCCAATTCAGGCGTGGCTGTTCCATTGTTCTGTAGTTACTCGCCAAAAACCCTGGAGACATCCCTACTCCTCTCATTGCACATTCAATCCGTCAGCAAATCCTGTCTATTCCACTTTCAAAAAGTCTAGAATCCAACCACTTTCACAGCCTCCACCAGCTCTAGTCAGGTTCAAGCCCCTATCATGTCTTAACTTGATTATTTCTAGAGCCATCCAACTAGTTTACCTGCTTCCACCCTAACTCTCCTATTATCTACTCCCAACGAAACCACCAGAAAAATCAAGGTAAGTCAGATTATGTCACTTTCTGCCTCACTGGCTTCCCATTTTATTCAAAATAAAAGCCAAATTCCTACACTCCCAACCTTTTTATCTTCTACCCTTTTCCCCTTCAGCCACAGTGACCGAATTGGTGTTCCTTGTACCTGTCAGGATGTTTGCCTATATTATTTCCTCTTCTAGGAATTCTTTTCACAGATAACTGTATGATTCCCTCACTTTCTTTAGGTTTCTGCTCAAATGTCATCTTATCCCTGAGGCCTTCTTTGATCACCCTCCAAAAAAAAACAGCATCTTCTCCAGTACTTATTTTTTTTTCTCCATTAGAATTTTTGTCTGCTTCATGTATGCCGACAACAATGTGTGGCACATAGGAATCATTTTTAAAAATCTGCTGAATTAATTTTTTATATTTATCACCATCTGACATACTATGTATCTGTCTCTTTCACTACTGGAATGTAAGCTTCAAGAACATAGAATAATGCCTAGCACTCAGTAAGTGTTCAATAAATACTTAGTGAATGATCAAATGAAACAAATGATGTATCCTGGAATTTTTTAGTCAAGTGTTTTCCTTTTTACTAAAAGTTTAATATTAGGATATTATGAAAATCTTTTAACAATTCAAATGTTACCACCTCCTTTTAGACAGTTCTATTAGCAAATATCCAAGGTATTTAAAAAAAAAATGTAAATCATGTACATTTTCCCTTCATGCAAATAGCATAATTTTTCTTTTAAATTAAAAAAAAAAAATCATGTGTTTGAAAGTAAACAGATTTTTCTGCAAACCTGCAGCTGACAAGTTGGAGGCTCTAACTATTGCTAGTAGTATGTGCATCCTGTTCAATCCAGATCTATTCCTTTGTTGCTCCTTGCTTGCAAAGTACAGAAATGGCTTTGTAACCTGAGGGAAGCTTTATATATATCACCCCTTTGAGGCTGCATGTACCAGGCATATTGGCCTACACTGCATAGAGCAGCAGTAAAAATGAGAAGACTGTTACAGATATAATTAAAGGCCAAACCACACATTGTCATATAGATTTTAATAGATATTCTGATTAACTCATCACAGTAATCATTTTTACTGTAATGATATGCAGCTTTACTACACTAGTATAAATAAAAACAGATAAATACAGCTCTAGGCAACATCACAGATTAACAAACTAAGCATTCTTCATGAACCAAAACTGAAAACAGTAATTAATAAGAGATGCTGACACCCTTGCCCATTCCCTTCACACCTTACACCCTTGCCCATTCTCATCATACCTCCTCAAAAAAGGGTACTCAAATAAGGCGCTCCACTTATTATATTGGTCAATTAATTTGCCAATTAGCCAGGCACATATATTTCATGGTCTCCACTATTTCACAGTTTGATTAAAAAGCAGACACACCTCATTGTATCAAGAAAAAGTGGACCAGATAGTAATACCAAAGAAAATCACTGAATGCATAAAAATACGGCACTTGTCCTGTATTTGAGGAGTAAGACACATCAGGGATAGAAATATACCAAGAAAATTAATAGCCACCTTGAATATCCACCCTGAAATGTCAGTCTCTGAAGCAGGATGGGCAATGAAAAGAGGACCTGAAATCAAAAACGGAAACATGAAAAATGAAACCCATGAGAACTTTAATGTTATAAAGCTATCTGCAAAGAACTTCGTTTCTCTTTGAAGCCTTGTAACTGAAGACCAAGCAATTCAGTATTCAATAGCCAATGCTGAGGAATTCATATTCTAAAAGTGCCTTGCACAATGAAAATATACGTAAGACAAGCTGGAGATAAGATATATTGAACCATCATTTAGAAATTTCATTCTGGATGGTTAAATAAACTTTGAAGAGGTCATTAAGAAAACGTGAAGTCTGCTAAAGGGTGGGGAAGTAATTGGAACAAAATACTAATTTTAGGCAGATAGCAAAACTAAGAATGTTCCAAGAAATTCCTAAAATTTTTTCAGCTTTCAATTGTCATTCTAATATGGCTTCATGATCTTATAAATCTTCAAGATCTTACAGATCTTATGGGATTTTACAGATACATTATCACTAACTATGAAGTGAAGAATCACTTCCAGAATGTAAAAACAGCTCATTGCCAGTTGTTTCAGAAATGCCTGTCTGCAAAAATTCATTTTTCTACCAAAAATGCATAATCACAGAATATTGAGGCCAGTCCTTCAAGTAAACTGCCTTTGCCGATTAAGACCATGTTTAAGACAGACGTTCCCCCGCCCCCCAAAAAAATCCCAAACATACCCCATTACATTTTCAACTCATTCTGTAAAAATGTGTACCGTGAATAATCAATCACTGAACACTTATGGATGTGACATACCCAAAGACTCAAAGGTTATGTTCAGATTAAAATTTTAACAGCTACCTTTGCAATTTTATTGTTTTCATTTTTTTTTTTTTTCAAAAAAGGTCAACTCTTATTTAACTTTTGGTTTTAATCTGCAAAGTGATTTGTAATGTTTCAACTTTCCAGTTAATGAGTCAAAATGGACAGGTCAGAAGACATAATCCAGGGGATGGCAGTGAAAGATCAGAAAAAGGTTTGTGTACACACTGGATCATAGAGAAATAATCGCAACTTCTTTTAACACCCTTGTTTTTCCCACTGTAAACTTTGTTTACACCTCTGTATTTGTAAGTCTGAATTACTCTATAAAAACACATTAAAAAGGTAAAATTATTTAAGTGAGATATTAACTGATCTGTATTTTATAAACTTTAATCCATAAAAATATAAATAAGAATGGTAAATTTTTAAGAAAAGAAATATACATTTAGTGCAAGTTATGAATTACAATTCTTCTTCAGTGTCAGCAGTAAAATATTTTGGGGAAAGAGAAAAAAAAAGATCTAACTTCAAGAAAAAAATTCCAGTGTTTAAACATGCAATTAATACCAGATACTGCTAAACAGAATACTTCCTTCTCTTCACTGTCAAAGCATCAGCATTTTGTTTCCGTATGCTGAACAGTACTTGTATATCATAGTAGTTTTAGAAGTACAAAATATGCATAAGACCAGGTAACATTATTCATAAGGTCTGAGAGGAAAAAAAAAAAAAACAAAAAGATGTTTATCCTTACAAGTCAGGTTTCATTGTAGATTCTGAACCACACAGCACACAAGCTGAGAGATTTCATTCACACTTCAAGATTTTACCTAGTTGATCAGCCTTTGTTGTGGCACATGTGACAGCTCCAAGCATTTAGTGATGGTACAAACTACATGGTTAATGGCACGAGAAACACTCCCTTCTTGTAATAAAACCTCAGTAATATCACAGTACATCTCAATATGAGAAAGACTGCTTCAAAAAGGTTCACCAATTTAAAGAGGCTTTGTTACAGAGAGAGAGAAAGAGAGAGAGAGGGTGAGGGAGAAAGAAAAGCTTCTGGAATGTAGAAAGGTAATGCTTAACTATACAATTCATGAAATAAACAGAACAGTTTTGATTTAAAAAGGGCAAGACCTTGCAGTCTTATAGATGGCTCAATTCAAAGTAATCCCTCCAGAAACAGGGACTGATAACGCATCTTTGCGATGTTGGAGTGACAGGCCAGGTGCTCCGGTGTCCTCTCCTTTGAAGCTCAAGCCTGCACTATCACAGCACATCCTCAGCTGAATGCATCCAGTGCAGAACAGGAGTTGATTGGCTGCTCTCAGAGGGGGAAATACCTCACTCATTTCCTTCTCTCTCTGCTTTCCCTCCCCAAACAACTCCTCCATTCCACCAGCATTATTTGCAAACTGTGTTGCAAAAGCCTGGCTTTTATATTTCTTTTTTCTTTCTTTTTTTTTTTTTAGGAGAAAAATAAGTAGACGACTCTCGCAGGTTACAGAGTTGTGCTATGCAACAAATGAACTTCCTCTTCTGCCTCCTCTCTCTCCTCATCTACGGGATTCAGTTGAACATTACTGAGGCGGGGTCTTGGTTTGCCGTCTGGGCCATATGACGGAGGATATCTTTTTTTGTTATAATGCCAAGGAGGCGCCTGAAAGGGATAAACAGAAGACAGCTATTAAAATAAAATGGGGAAAAAAGTAAATTTATAGCTAAATCCTTTTGTTGACAGGAATAGAGCAAAGCAAGCAGCCTGATTTTGTATTTTCAAAAAGTATTTTATTGGTAAAGATAATGAAATTATCCAGCAACCATCTTTTGATATAAAAATTATTATGGTCACTAATAATAGTACTATGTCCTTTCGCTGACTCTCATTGAAGCAGAGCTATTTTGATTACTGCATGCCAACAAAAAAGTAACAAAAAAATGGGAGGATATATGAACAAGAAATGATGCTGATCCCGTTTGAGAAGGAAAATTCATTCCCATCACATCAAGAAAGCAGTAAAATGTCTGATGACGAAATCCCTTTGATATTCTACTTATTAAAAATGAAAATTAACTTAAAAAAATAATTTAGGGATTACCTAGTTGTATGCAGAAGCTTCATGAAAGCACATACAATTGAGATCAAATGGTCAACACAGAACTTGAATCACAAACTTCAGAACCTCAAGAACCATAGGATAACCCAAGTTTCTAGTACATTCATCAATGTTTCCTCTTTTGATTTTAGCCAAAAAAAGTTAAGATACAGTGCTTTTATGAAAGTCTTAGTTGTTAATGCTTACATTAAAAGACAAATGAAAATTCAAGAAGTGGTCCTAAAAGGTTATTATAGGAGAAGCACAAAGCAGAATGAATGAGTAGCTACTTATTATTCTGGTTAGTAGTTTTTTAAAAAAGGATGCATGAAACACTTGTGAAATATTAGCATACAACAGGAATACATAATCAGTTATGTACTAAATAAACTGGGACAGGTTTTATATAGGTATGACAATTACAGGGCAAAATAATTACAGGCAGTAATTGCTAGAGCCAGACAATTTTTAGGTTATAATTCAAAATTTATCTTTAGTCATGAAACCATTAGGACATTAAGCCAGTTAAAACAAATGCATATGACCACTAAAAGCTGTTTACAGCATTCTAGAAGCATCATACAAAATGGGCACACACATCACATATTCTAGGAACGATTCCTAATGAAATGGCAAGACATACATTATTGACTTTGAAAGTATGCAGGGTATAGCATAAAAAGAACTAAAGCTACGATCTCACACACACACACACACACACACACACACACACATACACACATATATATACACACATATATATGTATATACATATATACACACATACATATGTACACATTACACTCTAGTGTGCCCATAAAAAAATCCATTTAACTGTCAGCAATTTGAACATTGCTAAGCTCGGTTAAGATCATTTATGAGCTTAGATTTATCACAAGATTACCACGCAGTTAGCAAACATTAAAAAAAACAGAGTTTGGGGTGACAGGGTAGACATTTTAACCAGTCAAGTGTCTTGCGAGACCAGTATAACTGCTAAGGTAGAGACAGATATATGGTGTTTACTTTAAAAATGTCCAATAATATTTACTCATTCAACTACTAAACTCTTTACAGTTCTTAAATTGCACCTAATGATTTTGATGAGAGAGTTTAACTTTTGCTTACTTCCTATGAAAGAATTTCACATATATCTAAATTTTTCTTACAGATATATTTATGAGACATAAATGTAATTGGCAGCATGTAGGATTTTTTGGTCAGCAGGTATCTGGGAAAGAGAGAACTGAACAGTTCACAAGTTTCATGCTTCCTGACTTCTAAGGTATCTAATGAGGAGATCTGATATATCTAATCACCAAGGGCTCGACGTGCTGCTTTAGTTGCTCGAGATGCTCTAATATGTTCTTCTTTGTGATGATCCCCAAGACAATCCTGAAACAGATGTTATGCTAATAACTGTGAGAAATAAAATTAAAAGAGGTTCCAATCATAACAATAAAAATGAGAGAAAAAAATAAAAACATGAACCAGAAGAATGCTTTTAATGAACCTCAGAAAAATAAAAATGAAAATGATTTGAAGTCCCAGGTCCTATTTGCATAAATTCTGACTTTTGAAAGTGACAAGCTACTATTTTAAAATACTGGTGAGTGGTTTTCCTTTTTAAATTAAAAATCAAAATTAAAAAAAAAGTTCACAATGAAGATGACTATAAAGTACAAAAAATATTAATACACAACTATAAAATTCTGAAATTTAATTTCACTTTCAGTGTTCCTTCCTCCGAGGAAAATATTTTTCTAATACCTGAAATGTCACAACGCAGCAGCTGTTATCTAGATCTACCTCAACAGTGAAAAAGTAGGAGGCTTAGCCTTTATTGCCTATGAGGAGACTTAAGAAATCCCTTGGATTTTACTATTATTTAGAATTAAAATTAAAGGTAATGTGCACTAAATTAATTTCAGTTACTGTATTAGTAAGCTCTGCCAAATCACAAGGTACACAATGAGAAAAAAGACAATTTTTTTAAGGACCAAATGGCAATTTTAGAGATTTACAAAGCAATGTTCATATTTACAAAGTAACAGCCCTAAAAAAGAGGACATACTTATATTTTCTCTCTCTAGCTAATGAAGAAGAGTGATTTGAGAATAATAAAGCCAGATTCAGTGCCGCTTTATTAATTTCAGGAAGTACAAATAAACTTAATGTGAAATGTGACTCATTTAAAGAATAATTTGCTGTTTCCTTGTAGGCTAACAAATAATTATGTAATAGTTAACAGAGCATGACCCAACAGTTTCCCAAACTACGCTCCAAGAAACTAGTCTCAAAAGTTTTTCCCTCTTTCCTCCATTAAAAAAAAAAAAAAGGTTTCATATTCAAATAAGTTTGGAAAATTATGTTTCCTATTATCCTGTCTGAGAAGAAAATAATATGAACATTTTATAAGTTCTGAGAAGTTCCACAGTATAGAAACCTCAACTGTATATAATCTGATACTTTCCTAACTTAAATGATCACAAAACTCATTTTGAGCAATGCCTATTAACATCCTACTAGTTCTACCAAGACTGAAACATTTTGAGAAATTCTAATTAAAATTAAAATGTGGGACATCTAATAGTAACATCATTAAATTTTACAGACACACTTTCCCCTTATCTCTCTGTTCTCATTTTCTCTTTTCATCCAAGGTTCTAGATTTGTTCTATCTCCTTCCCCAGTTATTTCCCACCTCTAAGGACACAGTATAAACTATTAAATATTAGCAATTGCCCAGAACTTCATACTCCACACTAAAAACCTGATGATATGATTTCTTTTCTGGGTTTAAATCATTCCTTACACACTTCAAAGAACAAATTCCAAAAGCCGCCACACCAAATGATCTGTTCCCTTTCTACATCTATCGATCTATTTTCTTTATAGGACAGAAATAAGCAAACTATAATGGAGGCACCCATCAACCCAAGCTTATAAACAGGCTGTATCAGGTAAGATTTTAATTAACTATCTTCCCTGCCCCGCTTTATTATTTTTATACTTTCTTTTAAGTAGTTTCCTTTCCAATATCTGTGCTGCCCAAAACCTGGGAACTGATGAGCAAAATGAAATATGGTAATTAACCTATATAGCTTTGTGATCATAGATAATCATAACTATGATCCAAATGACATTTATATTTGGTAGTACATAAAAGAACATAGAATGACATTTATATTTGGTAGTACATAAAAGAACAAACTATGCCAGGCAATGAGAATAACTCAAAGAAAGTAAAAGTTTATAACACCTCCACTTAGCTTCCAACTGAGCCATTTAGAATTTAAAAAGCCCAAGAACAAGTAAAGCTTCACAAAGAGTTGCTCCATTTAACATGTGTTTATTAAGTTTTTAAACAGTGAAGTTTGGTACCATTTTTTAAAAAATTAAACGTTAAACTAAAAAAAAAAAAATGTTTTACTACATACATCTCTTTTCCAGTCAATATCTATAATATTAAATAATTCCAAACTCCTTGCCCTTAATCCAGAGCTTTAACCCTTTTATGATTTGTTTCATATTACCTAGTTATTTTACCTGGTTAGCACGGCAAAAACATTTACTCTAATGGATCTAATACTCTAGCTTTATATTTCTATTTCTAACCCAATACAGTCTAATATTGTCTAAGAAAATGGCAGTAGTTTAAGAAATCGCAAAGGAAGATATATTCTCTCAGCCAATTACAGAGTAAAACAGTAGCAAGCTATTGAGTTTTAAACTTAGAAACACATTTGATTCCCTGATATCCGACTTACTAACCTCGTGGACAAATTATTAAATCTCTTTGAGCTCAATTACTATATCAGTCAAGTCTGGATACTGCCACCTACTCTGTGGAGGGGCTGCAAAGTTAAATTAGAAACATGGAGAAGGTGTTCAATAAATAAATTTGCTTCCTTTCTGTTCTTTCCTCCTTTCTTCTCTAGATAGGGGCCATGTATTTTGTACAAAATATTGTTTTAAAAAACTTGCTTTGATTCTCTAAGTGTTTCTTAGTATTTCTCTAAGTATGTCTCTTGGTATTTCAACCAGCTTCACACTGTGCATGCAGTGTAAGCATAATTCAAAAACTCCCTTTGTTTCTCATTTCAAGCCTTTCTGTTATAAGCTTTTAGGTGAAACAATGTTCTTAATTATGTCAACTAGGAACAGCAATAGAATTGGGGGAAAAGGGACTAGAGAGAACAGGTGGGGAAACAGATCCCAGGACCAGGAATGGAGGGAGCAGTGGCAATGAGGGGGCATGTCTGTCAAGGCATACTGTGCATTACGTCTCCACAATCTCTGTGACATCAGCCAAACAAAACTTTCCTCAACTCCTTTTTTGGAGAAACACTGGCGGTTTATGTGTAAGGGGAAGAAAAATAAATTCATCAATTTATCTATTTTAAATACATGAGTATTTATTTGTCATTAGCAGTTTATGTAAAAGATTTGTGAATGCAGAAGGTAGAAAACAAAGAATTTGCCAAAGGAGGTGTTCAGCTGTCACAAATTTCATTTAATCTTATGTTAATGCCCTCATTACATGATAAAATGAATAATGGCTGAAACAGTAAAGCAAAATATCTATAAAGTTATTACTGCACTAGAAATATATATCCTAAAAATGAAATACTTACAAACGGGAACAGGTCTTTGCAGTGCTCCCTCCAGGTGAGGCCCGCGTGTGGGAGACGTTCAGCATCTCTTTGCCAATTTTGAAGTGTTGCCGACAAATGTCACCTTATATTTTGGCAAAGACTGGGCAGCTAACTTTTTTCTTATTCTTTGTGAGTGTGCAACTGGGTGACTGATCCTGTATTCATAACCATACTAAAAGACAGGCTTTCCCTCTTGGGAGCTGATTACACTCTTCTCTAATACCTGCATATGAATTCCACTAAAAAGGATAAAAAACTCTGGTAAGTGAACTGATTTCTCTGACCAAACTTACCCATTGTGAGTTACAAGGCACTGCCTCAGACCCAGCTTTCGGAAAATATCGACCACGATCTCCATTGGGGTGTGATCTGTCACTGTGAAAGGGCTCATGTCAAGGATGCTGCGAAGCTTCAAGGGCCGAGGACTTTCTGCCGGAAGAGATGGGGTGTGCTGTGCAAAACACACACGAGAACTGCCCACGATACCTTCTTGTTTTTTTCTGGCACTTTCTGAAAAGAGACAGAGAAGGCCAAAAATTAAAAATTGATAGGTTTGTTTTAGGTGTTTTAAGGGCAACCTTCTTATTCAGAGATTAAAAAAATAAATAAATGTATCCCATGACTTTCGGTCCTTTCATATTTTCCTATCTTCTTAATCAAGAAAGGAATCGACTGAAAGTCATTTAACAACTTCTTATATTTGACAGAATTAGAATCCACCAGCAACAAATCATCTTCGTGCAAATATGTTATTTTGGGTATAATTATATCATGGTACACTTTTCTTTACTGGGCCTTAAGTTGTTTTCTAACTTTGAGGGATGAGGAAGCATGTTTGGATGTGGGATCTTGAAACCTGCACACATCACAGGAATCCATCATGGAATAACACCTGCCTGTACTGCCACTTATTCTGCATTAGAGGCGGCATGAAAGAGAGCTTCATCCTTTCTTTGACTATGTTCTGTACTCTACTGCTATGAATTAGTTAGTTCTTCCTCTTTTCTAATGTTAAAGTTTAATTTTCTAGGTAAGTCATGAGCATTAACAAGTGGGCTGAAACTACAATTATGTACATAATGGGAACAGACTGACTTTTAGATTCTATTTCTAAAGGCTAAGTGTGCTCTCTATTGTGCTCTGCCTCAAATCCTTCTGTCCTGCCTACTTCCGCCTTTGAAAGTGCTAAATAAGAAGAGGCAAAGATGCAGAAAACTGCAAAGGAAGACTAGAGACCACAAACAAGAAGGAAAATCATTAAATGGAGAAAATACAAAAATAAAATAGTCAGCTTTATGTTTCTATTTTTAGTAAGTATTCAAAACTGTGTGTGTAAATATGGAATTTGGTAAATTGAACATATTTTGAACAATAATGAATTTGGCTACAAAAACAGTTAAGTCAAAAGAATAAGCATCAGCCTTAAACTGAGAAACAGATAAACATACAGCTCATAAACAAATACTGCAATGCTTTTGACTTCTGACCACCAAAGCCTTATTTAACTGTGTTGTAACACATTCAAGTAGGAAGGCACGAAGTGAAGTTCTAATGGTTAAAACTTACTAAATCACCTTAAAAGCATGATCAAAACATGGAAAAGAAGGAAATCCATTAGCAACTGACATAAGTGATTTTTGGAAAATACTGTGAATGGTGGAATATAAATACTGTTAGCCTGTAGGACAGACGTTCTGAGTTAAAACTAACTCCAATTATCAGTCTTAAACACCTTAAAATAACACATTATATCATCAATGAAAATATGCTGAGACTCTTTAAATAAGCATTTAATGGCAAGACAATTTTAGAAAATGTTAGAAAAAATAATTAACCCGATTTCTTTATTTATATTAGAACGTTCCTTTGATATACAAGGCACAAGGCTTGTGAACACCTGGCTTTACTTAAATTTGTCATTTTAAGACTACCAATTTTATATAAATACAATAATTATTTTAACAAGCATCATTTATTGAACACTTACTAAGTGCAAGGACATCTTGCACTTAGTTTATTTTTTTTTTTGAAAAAACAATTTTTTGAATGTCATTCATTCAAAGGCCTTTGAAGCAGAAAACATCCTAATTTTCCTTTTTCTGATAAGATTCACTTTTTTAAAGTATGCATGCAGACATAGAGTTATACTTCCAGAGAATGGGAATGGTTCTTTTCTAACATAAAATTTCCTAAAGTAAAAATAAATTTTACCTCTAATCTTTAATACAATATTATGTCTTTTTTTTCCTCTGAAATTTTTAGGCTTCATCTTTCCTATTTGTGTTAATACACTCTCAAGGGCTTAACTTCTCAAAACTCATCAAAAAAGAAAGACACAAAGGCTGTCCCCTTCATTTTTGACCATGTGAAACCGGGTAGTGGCAGATTCCAAAAACATTCCACAGGGTTCTAGAACACTTGCATTAGTTTTAGAAAGCAAAAAAGTCTCTAAATTAATAAAATGGTATTTCAATTAAGTGAGCAGGTATAAAGTTTAACTACTACTAACAGATAAACCAAAGGCTAGTCCACTTACGGTTGTATTACTAAGTAATTTAAACTCTATTTCAAGGTCTAAAGTTGATAATACTGTTATAGGAGGGGAAACTTTAAGCAAATTAACTCTCCTAGGTACTTTATTCTGAACGAAAGACCTTGAGGGGATAGGAGAAAAGAACAAAAGCAAAAACAAAAAAACCAAAAAAAATCTGTCATTTGTGACATGTACTTTTCAATATGTCAATGACATTAATGTTTTCATACACTGAGTCACCCTGTAAAACTTACAGCTCTTATTACATAACTAGAAACGAATGAGTATACTTTTATACCTGAAGGTGGAAAATAGGAAAGATGATTCAATTTCAGTATATGTGCGCTGCAGAAGCGAACACAGGAAAGATGATTCAACTCACACTATTAATATAATATGAAATATGCTTCATTTTAAATAAATCTGTGAAACATTCAGCCTCAGTTTTATATACTGACTCAAAAGTGCAGGGGGAAATGTCTCTCCATTTTGACTAAACTTTAACATAGTAAACTGTCATTCACTGCTTGTGGATATATATGGTTTAACCACTACTCAGTGCAATTTGAAAATGTCTTACAAAATTACAAATGTGCCTACTCTCCGATCTAACAATTCCACTTCTAATAATTTTCATACATTTTCACATAGGTGAAACATCAAATATACAAATATATAAGGCAGCAATTTTTATAATAGCAAAGATTGGAAATATCTTAAATGTCCATCATTGGGGAAGTGATTTTTAAAAAATCATGATGTATCCCCATGGTACACCTACTCAACAGAATACTATGCAGCCATAAAAAATATATAATGAAGAAACTCCACAGGCTGATTTGGGAAGATATCCAGGAAGACATTATTCAGTGAAAAAAACAAAACCAAGGTATAGAACATGTAATGGATAGCATGATACAATATGTTTAAAAAGAGGAAAACACACAAACACACACACATATAAGTAAGCAAAGACTATAAAATACATAAGAAACCATGGAGATGGCTACCTACAGAGAGTTAAAGAGGTCATGGGTGATATTTTTCATTATATATTTTTACTTGAATTTGAACTATGTGAATGTACATCCACACAAAAACCTCTTTTAAAACTAAACCTCTTTTAAAAATGAAATAACATTAAAATGTAGAGTTTATAAATAAATTTGGGGAAAAATGTTCTTTTAAAATCTTGTTTTCCCATCTCTGAATATGGTATCTAGCTCGCCACTTACGAAAGCATTCTTTTTTGTCCTTTAATTAAGTTGTTTACAAATTATACATATATAGAAAACCTAATGTACAGGTATATTTTTTTCCCCATTCAAAAACTTAAACTTTACAAAAATAAGTGGGTAACTATTTAAGATGTGTTCAAAAGTCATCATGAGACCAAGATTTCTGATGACGTCACTTGATATCTCACATATCTGAAGCATCACTGTTCCCTTAAATTGACATATCTGTTGACCCAATAATCTATTTCTCAAGAGAGTAACAAAACTAAATAATATATCCACAGAGTCAGTGGGAACGTGAATAATTTCTAACTTTACCACTTCCTTAATCTTTTTAAAACCTGGCCTTCTTCCTTTAAATGTCAATGTCAGTTCCAAAATTTTGATCTTTTTCCTTACCTGGCTATAATTAAAACCTAAATAATGGTAATCTAAACAATAAAAGTTTTCTCTGACTGTAGGTTTGGCCATGGTAATGGCTTAGAAGCTGAACCACTTGAGGAGAGCCAAATCTGTCCACATGCTTTGCCCACTCTGGCAACAACTGTTCTGTCACCTAAATCAAAACTTGGAATGACAGGATTGTTAGTCTTTGCCAACTAAACAGAATATTTCCTTTCCTTCTTTTTGCTTTAATATTAAGCTTTTGTAAATTGAGAGTTTCCAGTTTGATTTGGTAAATACTCCCCCAATCTACACAGTCTAGTCTTCCCTCTTCAAATGGCACATGAATTGAAATATTTCACAATTTTTTTGCAATGGCCGCAGAGATAACTTGGAAAGGAAACGACAAGCTCACAGGAGTGACTTTCAGAGACAGGCCAAATGCCTGACATTTTCAGCTCAGTCAAAGAAATGGCTTAATGAAAATATCCTCTACCACCTTCGGCGGCTGGGAAGAGCAGTCATATTGTATAGAAAAAAAGGACTAGAAGCTCTACTGGCCTCCTCATATTGAAGGACTAGAAAGTAAGGGGAAATATTAATTTTGGAAGAACACAATTGCTCCCTTCTCAGAAGAAGTTTATCTCCAAGAAATATCACATCATGGTTAATGCCTTTAAAGGAATTTTCAGGAATGTCAGCACAAAATACAACAGGACTTACATACTTTTTCAATCTGGGATTTGACCAAAAATAAAATCTCAATGATTTTTTTTCACTTTAAACTATGTATTACAAGTTAATATTGCAAACCTAAATCCCAAAACTAAAAAGGCAAAACCATGTGAATCAGATATGAAGCAGACAAATAAAGATTGAATTTTCAATAACTTGCATTCAAATAAGCCAATTAGCTGGATGCCCTGGCACTTGCAAAGGCTTTATATTACATGCTATTAGGAATAATATCAACTTAACAAGGCTTATCTGAATGGGAAAAGAAGACTCTGACTCCAGTCTCTTATAACAATGCCAAAGCAAAGATAAAACGATGCTCAG